GTGAGGCAGGTTTTTATGAAGAAGATGGAGATGTGAAGGACAGTGACAGAGGTTGTTATGAAGAAGGTGGAGATGTGGAGCAAAATGAGGCAGGTTTTTATGAAGAAAGTGGAGATGTGAAGGACAGTGAGGCAGGTTTTTATAAAGAAGGTGGAGATGTGAAGGACAGTGAGGCAGGTTTTTATGAAGAAGGTGGAGATGTGGAGGAGTGTGAGATAGGTCGTTATGAAGACGATGGAGATGCGGACGACAGTGAGATAGGTTTTTATGAAGAAGGTGGCGATGTGAAGGACAGTGAGGCAGGTTTTTATGAAAACCAGCCTCACAGAATCCACATGGAAGCGTAATGTGCCTCTCCCAACAGAATAACGTTTATATATTGTCCAATATCAAGCGTGAGAATGAGGTACTCCTCTCTGCTGTTCATTTTCGGATTCTTGGAATTAATCCAGACCGCCTCTAGAGTTCTGCGCGCTTGTGTTCTCGATTCTTGCGCGAGGATCGTAACCCTTACTTCAAAATCTTCCCCGTTATGCCTCTGCGTCCTATGCGTGCCTAGTGGAGTATTTGGCTTACGTTTGCCGACTAGGTGTTCTTTTATACGTGGGCAGAGTGGTCTACCCGTTTCGCCAATGTATTCGTCCCCGCATGCTTTACAAGGGATCAGATAGACTGTACCCGATCTCATGCAGTACCCGATCTCTTACATCATTTGAGATGAAGGGTAGGATAAACGGGACCCTTCTATCGCTAGAGATGTTGCTTGGAGGCCTAGGATTTCTCCTACACCTATCCTGAGCTACGGTTTCATAGTCATTAGAAATGGCTATTTGCCGTGCTAAGTTCTGGGACTCCTCTCTCTGCTCTCTTCCCGTGCACACGTTGGTTGCTGTTCGAAACATGTTTCTTCTAAGCGCCCTTTTCGTGTGAGAGGGTTGAGAGGGGAGGCAATGAACCAAGATGTTTTTACTATTTGGCTTTCGGTACCACTTTGTAATGTAGCCGTTTTCTGAGAGGCTAACCGTGTTAGGAGGCATGACTCTTCCTGACGGTGCGCTCGTTATTAGAATTGGGGCCGAGTTTCTCACCATCTGAGCCCATTTCTAAGATAACCTTGCGTAGGGTCGCATATAGTTTACATGAACTTCAAGATAGACTCCGCAAAAAAGTTAGAGATGAAACGCAAAATAGGTGCGAACAGCACCAAGTGTGGGCCCTGCCAATAACACCGTTTCCTCAGCCGTTCTTTAGACTTGTTGTCGAATAGTGCAGTTGATGTTCGATTTCGGATGTTTACGAATGATACTTTCAAAGTCCTTAATCACTATCGCGCTAAGCGATACTGCTCCAACCTCACTGAAATACAAAAACGTAGAATGCGGGAGGCACGACAGCTGATAAGATCGAAAAACATAAGACTATCGGTTAATGATAAGGGTGGAGAGTTCGCTGTAATTCCCCATCAGTTAGATGTTGAAATAACGGAAAGGCACCTTGAAGATGTTTCCCTTTATCGGCCGTCGTCTGAGAAGGAATTNTAGAGTTCTGCGCGCTTGTGTTCTCGATTCTTGCGCGAGGATCGTAACCCTTACTTCAAAATCTTCCCCGTTATGCCTCTGCGTCCTATGCGTGCCTAGTGGAGTATTTGGCTTACGTTTGCCGACTAGGTGTTCTTTTATACGTGGGCAGAGTGGTCTACCCGTTTCGCCAATGTATTCGTCCCCGCATGCTTTACAAGGGATCAGATAGACTGTACCCGATCTCATGCAGTACCCGATCTCTTACATCATTTGAGATGAAGGGTAGGATAAACGGGACCCTTCTATCGCTAGAGATGTTGCTTGGAGGCCTAGGATTTCTCCTACACCTATCCTGAGCTACGGTTTCATAGTCATTAGAAATGGCTATTTGCCGTGCTAAGTTCCGGGACTCCTCTCTCTGCTCTCTTCCCGTGCACACGTTGGTTGCTGTTCGAAACATGTTTCTTATAAGCGCCCTTTTCGTGTGAGAGGGTTGAGAGGGGAGGTAATGAACCAAGATGTTTTTACTACTTGGCTTTCGGTACCACTTTGTAATGTAGCCGTTTTCTGGGAGGCTAACCGTGTTAGGAGGCATGACTCTTCCTGACGGTGCGCTCGTTATTAGAATTGGGGCCGAGTTTCTCACCATCTGAGCCCATTTCTAAGATAACCTTGCGTAGGGCCGCATATAGCTTACATGAACTTCAAGATAGACTCCGCAAAAAAGTTAGAGATGAAACGCAAAATAGGTGCGAACAGCACCAAGTGTGGGCCCTGCCAATAACACCGTTTCCTCAGCCGTTCTTTAGACTTGTTGTCGAATAGTGCAGTTTATGTTCGATTTCGGATGTTTACGAATGAAACTTTCAAAGTCCTTAATCACTATCGCGCTAAGCGATACTGCTCCAACCTCACTGAAATACAAAAACGTAGAATGCGGGAGGCACGACAGCTGATAAGATCGAAAAACATAAGACTATCGGTTAATGATAAGGGTGGAGAGTTCGCTGTAATTCCCCATCAGTTAGATGTTGAAATAACGGAAAGGCACCTTGAAGATGTTTCCCTTTATCGGCCGTCGTCTGAGAAGGAATTTAAAAGTCAATACCGAAAGTTAAACAACGAATGGGTTAAAGTGGGAAGAGCGGCAGCGTTAAAACCATCAGTTATTTCTCATCTCAAAATTGACTTACCAACATGTCCCGTCCTGTACTTACTTATCAAAACCCATAAGTTAGTATCCAGCGATGATCTCGTGTCTACCGNTACCGAACCATCGTTATTTAAGGTTAGACCTATCATTAGCTGCGTGGACGGGCCAACGGATAGAATAACGTGGTTAATAACCCTAATGCTTACTCAGTTGTTGAAGTACATTCCAGCTCATCTAACGAACACCCAAATGTTCCTGGATCGTCTACGTAACGCTCGACCCAACAGCGCGTACGTGGTGGAGTCCTTCGACGTCACTGCCCTCTATACGAACGCGTCGAATGACTCCGCTATGCAAGCCATAAACGAGCTCCTTATACAACACGAATGAACAATAAACATGTACGGCTTCTCGATTCAGCAGTTTATCACACTCTTAAAGGAGTGCGTGCCTAAACTGTTCAATCTTCAGATGGTCCGGGAGGTATTACGCACAAATGAGAGGGCTGGCAATGGGACAATGACTGGCACCAAGCCTTGCCATTTCATTCATGTCTAAGGTGGAAGCGCCAGTAATCGACCTCGGTCCGTTACTCTACTGTAGATATATAGATGACTGTTTGGTCTTTGTTCAACGCAAGAAGAAATCGACAGATGTTTCGAGTTGTTGAACACACAGCCAGAGTATATTAAATTCACCCGAGAGAAACCAAATGAAGACTGGCTTCCATTTCTGAACGTGAAAATTAGCCTATCAGAAAACGGCTGCATTACGAGGTGGTATCGAAAGCCAAGTAGTAAAAGAATCCTGGTTCACTACCTCTCCCCTCACCCCTCTCACACGAAAAGGGCGCTTGTGAGAAACACGCATCGAACAGCTACCAGCGTGTGTACAAGAAAACAGCAGAGAGAGGAGTCCCTGAACTTGGCGCGACAAATAGCCATTTTTAATGGCTACGAAACCGTAGCTCGAGATTGGTGTAGAGGTAACCACAGGTACCCCAACGAAAACTCTAGCGACAACAAGGTCCCGTTTATACTGCCCTTCATTTCAAATGAAGTAAGTGCAGCTATAAAACGCTGTTTAAGAAGGGCCAGTCTAGAGAATTCGGTAACGATAATCGAAATACCACCGAGTAATCTAAGACGCCAGCTAGTTCGTAACCGCCTATACGACCGTCTATGTGCAACGCAAAATTGCATAATTTGCCCCAATGGTAGAGACGGTGACTGCATGAGATCAGGTACAGTCTACCTGATCTCTTGTAAAGCATGCGAGGACGAATACATTGGCGAAATGGGTAGACCACTCAGCGTACGTATAAAAGAACACCTAGTCGGCAAACGTAAGCCAAATACTCCACTAGACACGCATAGGACGCAGAGGCGTAACGGAGAAGATTTTGAAGTAGGGGTTACGATCCTCGCGCAAGAATCGAGAACACGAGCGCGCAAAACTTTAGAGACATTCTGGATTAATTCCAAGAATCCGAAAATGAACCGCAGAGAGGATTGCCTCGTTATCACACGTGATATTGGACAGTATATAAACCTGTTATTCTGATGGGAGGGGCACATTACGCTTCCATGTGGATTCTGTGCGGTCGGTCTTCACGCGACATAGTGGAAAACTCATAGAAAGCGGTGAGTGTGCAGAGCTATGCTAAACGTGATTGAAATGTTGGTTTAGCGTTTTCTCTGTTTGGTTATGGAGGTGTTTGGCCGAGTGGATTGCTGTCAACTTGACCCTTCCAGGCTCTGAGGCAGGCGAAATCCACCGAAACGTCAGCTTGTGCATAAATAAAGAAATAAAATAGCACCTCATGTTTGCTGAACAGAAGTAGAAAGATATATTCAATTAATATTATTGTTATTACTATTATTATTATTGTTATTATTATTATTACTATTATTATTCTATGACCCGTCAATACATCTACCGCACGGGAACCAGCATTTCTTGAATTCGATTCGTTTTCCTCGCATTCATCTCTCAAAGTCTTCGAATATTCTCCGTGTTGTTTTGTCCGCTGCTTGAGGGTGTAGTCTTTTTTATGAATGCCGCAAAATCCAGCTCTAATCTATTCTACTTATAGTCTCGGGGATAGCCGAGATGAGCCGTTGGCACAACGTCCCCACTCTGGCTTCAGTGCATTTAACCGAGAAAATCTTTCGGATTTAACTAAACATTTCGATGCATTGGACAAATTGTGAGTATTTGCCACATTTTGGATCTCAAATGCCGAGAAAGTGAGAAATACAAAAGTATCAAACTACAAATACGAAGTTATGACTTTGTTATGTTGAAGGACATATTTAGTGAAGAGAAAGCTTTTTGGTAAAGGGGACTTGTGTGAAAGGAAGAGCCGAAGGAGTGAAAAATCTATTAATACGTTCATGGACCAAACGTACCTCTTCTTCACGTAGTACATGAGCATCGTGTTGAGAACGACGATGAGCACCAAAGGAATGACGACAACCAAAGCGACATTCGCTGCTCGCATCCACTTCACGTACTGTCGAAGCAGAAGCGATGACGGATTCGTACCATTTCCTTGCCAACTACAATTCGAAAGTGTTCATGTAGTCAGAAGAATGCATGTAGAAGACATTTCAGTGCTTCAGACGTATTCCAAAAGTATTTCTACTTTTAAGCATTTCTCGGGCGTATTTTCAGGTTGTTTTATTAAACGAGCGAACAATATAGTTTGTGATCACAATGCTCACCTTTCATTTTCTACCTACTATAATTTTTCACGGCAGGGTATGATGTGAATTACAACCACAATGATGCTGCGATATTCGCAAAACATGTCCACTGGGCAGATCGAACCACGATTTCCCTTGCCGAGGACTCGCGCATTACACACTGCGCCCACGGAGGCCCTTGTTCTGCATTCCTCTCATCTAGTTTTCTACCTAACGCTGCCATCAACAATCACCCGTCAGCGGGATTGATCTGGAAACCGCAAATAGGCATTGAACCCAGTTAAACCGAGGCTGTAGTAGAAATCACAATGTTACCATTTTATTTTCTCCCTACTATAACTTCCTGTTTATTGTGCTCTCCAAATCAATCCCGCTGACGGTTGATCGTTGATGGCAGCGTTAGGCAGAAAACCAGCTGAGAGAAACGCAGAGCAAGGGCCTCCGTGGCGCAGTGTGCAATGTGCGAGCCTTGGAAGGAGAAAGCGTGGTTCGATCTGTTCCCTGATCTAACTTTTGCGAATATCGCAGCATCATTGTGGTTGTAATATAGTCTGTGTTTGGAAAAGTCGGGTGTTGGAGAAAAATAGGTCTCCTAAAGAGAATGAATATTAACAAGCTGTGAAACTGTAGCACGAGAGTCTCATAGTCTTACTGGGTTCTGTAAGGGAACGTCGATTATGTCTCATTAAGACGTGAAATCACTAACAATAAGAGAATCGAACTTTTTTTACGAATATCGATGACATTTTACATTCCGAGTATCCTCTATATAACTAGGTTTGGGACAACCTAGAATTTTTAATCAGAAACTTTATGGAGTCTTCTCTACATCAACTCGGCAGCATATCCTTCATAGATTGAACAAAAAAGCATTATGTGTGCTATGACGTCGGACTATATTTACTTGCTAGTCATCTGGAAGATTGATAAATAACGGACCAGGATTACCTGGGATAAGCAATCAAGAAGATGTTGGTCACTGAACACATTCCATTCGTTGTAATGACAGGTTCAAGTGTCCTCTACGAGTGTTCTCTTCTCTATCGAACAATAAATAACATGAAATGGGAATGTCACAAAGCCCTTCATGGCCACCGTAATCTCGCTATATTGTGAATTCCTGATGATTACTGTCATATTTTAGACACTGGTTCCGTGAGGTGTCCACCAATGCGAACTTGGTTGCTGGTTCGGCACTGCATCCGATGTGAACCATGACTTATACCTCTCAGGGGCTTACGAATGGGCACTAGACTTGTTTGAGAGGATTTTCGTCCTCACTTACCTGAATTGTACATTAGTGAGCCCCCGTAAATCACTTTATATGCCAAATACTCATTCAATCACCTCTACGTTGCTTAATGGGGGATGCGCAGGCCATCTCTAGGAGGTTGACTAACGCCGAAAGGTTTATCCTTTAACGTTAACTATTTAACGGAGACTCTCACCTATTAGTGTTGACATCAACGCACTTTGCAATCCACTGAGTGTTATGACAAAAGAGTTTCATGAAACACTGATGTGACACATGGTTGTAGCAGGTCAGCGCTGCGCAAGCCGACAGAAGCAGTGATAGACCTGGAATGACTAGTACAGGTTTGCCTGCATTCATCCATCCTACGATCTCTTACGGTATGTCATACTCATAAAGACATTCTCCTTGTTCGAAGCACATGAAAAACTAACCACTTTCATTCCATTTTCCATTACCGTATACTTTATGACCGACCAATCCTTTTAGAATTAATCCATGTACACTTAATTTTCTTCTTCTTTCACTTATTTGATCGATAACACTCGGCTGACAAATGATAAAGACACCATCGAGATTACTATTCGGAAATGGTGAGCTGGTTTTTCCACACCATATTCTTTCAGTCGGCGTCGGTTATTTACATTGTATTGCAATCGTCAAGGTTACGAATGTAGATAAAGTTGAGATGGAAAAAAGTAAGGTTGTAAAGTTCTCAAATTCTTGGCTACTGACGAAGAAACAACCCTCTGCTGTCGGGAAACCACATTCGTTGCAAATATTTTCAACAAATATACCAAAGGTCACCGTGAATATTATTAACACACATTCGTAACGGCGCCTAATTTTCGACGCCTGGCGCATCGATATCATCTAAGTTTTCTCAGCACGCGGTCCGCGTCGGTTTCAATGCGCAGAGACCGTTGTTGCACACCAAAAATAGCTGTCAATTACCCGTCACGATAAGCAATAGCTTTTGTAACACAAGGATCAAATGTATTCGAAAAACGGCTTCTTTTGCCAATTGACTGACGTAGAATTTAGCTTTCTTCGGACGAGGTCGACACAACATCTCTAATACGAAAGTTATCGATTTAATACAGATAGAATAGTAAAAAAAAAAAACTTTAAAGAGAGGAGTCCACCAAATGGAAGTGGACTGGAATCCATGCGCAATTTCGGAAATAAGTTAGACGAAGTAAAATCCAACTTTTCCCACTTCACCTAAGGAAATACTGATTTTTGGAGCTCATAGATCCTTTTTCTTTCAGCCTTTTTAACGCTGAGGCTCGCGTTTAAAAGCCTAAAGCATGGAATGGATGAAACTTGGCTTTTTAAGTCTTTCAAAGTTTAACTTCACGTGTGAGCCAATTTTCTCTTCCTTATGGGGCAACGTTTCTCTTCGTTATGAACCCAGTTAATAGCAAAGGTGTCCATAGAATGCACTCTAGTGTTAATAGACACGTGAAACGCAGTACTGCGAGAAAAGTACTCTTCCGAAGAATTAATGATTACTATCGGAGCAAACTCGAACTGGAGGCCAATTTGTTTTTAGAAAATGAGCTGAAATTCTATCTCTGGAGAATATAAACAGAGTTTTTCCGAACTCTAATCTCTTGTCACTTCATCGCATGATGCTAGAGATCACTATGATTTTTTCTCGTAAAAATATATATTTTCAACAATTGAGAGTGCTGCTTTTATTTCACGGACTCACCAACAACCAGACGTCCTTTTGACGGAGCGACAAGTCGATGAAGTGGTGATCGAACCCCGATCACTCGTTCGAAGCACACACCGACAACCAGCCTAAAGACAGACATGGATTTCCAAAAGGAGAATCCGAATGAATCCTGAAGAACATTGAGCATAAAAACAAAAGCCTCTTCATGTGAGTCCACGATCATGATGATATCGTTCACTACATGTTTAGCATACTACGGTAACGTGTTCTAAGGAAACAAAAGCTTCTCATGGAAAAAAAATTGGAGCATGAAGTCATAAAGCATCTTCAGTATATTCAAGCTACGGTAGTACGACTTATATCACTAAAATAAAAAATTTACCGATGGTTGCAAAGTTCTGATTGTTTGTGTTTCTGTTTTGTGCAATTCTTGGATATTATCGGGATACGTCAAAGCTGGGACAAAAGATGGGCGAGCCGCCATTAAACAAATTCTATCCTCTAATTCTTTACATTCTTGCTGAGCAAATGCGAGGTGCTATTTTATTCTTTACTCAAGAACACTCTCACGTTCCTGCGGATTTCGCCTTCCTCAGGGCCGCTTTCTGAGGCTTTCTTTCTGAATATAAAAATATACCTCTCGTTTGCTCCACAATAATATGAGGAATTTCAATGCCGAGGTTAATAAAAAGTCGGTCGTAAGGATTATGTGACCTATAACATTGTAAGAGATACGCGATTTTTTATGGTACTCTGTGATTGTCGTTGACATGAAATAACAGACTGTAGAAGCAGACAAAAGCGAACTACTCTACACACATAATTTTCACGCGTTCTTCACATTTACCACACTCTTATACAGCTCTCACCTTTTCCTTCTATTGCTCGCTCTCTTTTTTCGCCTGTCTCCACATCTCTTTTTCCATAACTCGTTGCAGTAGTACTCGTTCAAATCGTATCGCTCCTTTCTTCAAGTATAACGCTATATCAAAATACATTGAGATAAGGTTATCGCAGACGGTTGCAGTTTCGATGTCAGCCATTTCCAACGTAGAGCTCCATCACACCGTACCTTCCATGATTTATCCTCTCATCGTCGTTGGGGATGTTTCTGGGTGTCCAATTGCACAGCACTAAGTTCTATCAAAGTGAGAAAGGGTTCAACATTTTATCTGGATGCGTAGGAACAAACTAATGCACGAATCACTACCGCCACGGCAGTAACGTACTTGAAAGGCCGAAAATCTCCCTCCAGTAGAGAGGGGCTGGTGGCTGCCTGTGTTGACGGCTTTGGAAAGCCCTAGCACACTTATCTTGAGACTCCAGGGAAACAAAATCTTGTTCAGCCAACAAACAACCATTAGGGTGGACCACTAAGCGGGAGAATTCAAGTAGGGTGAGGCAAAACTTAGTTTAGGAGTCCTTTAATTTTGCAATTATTGAAAAACCTTTAACAAATGGACACACCAATGTCGGATATGTGAGGCTGGCTGAATTTTATGTCAATGCAGTATTCTCTTCTGCGAAGAACGATATACGACCTGGTTAATTCTTTGCGAAAACGCTACACGGTCCAATCCTTATCCAAGAAGCCTCCGAAGAAGGCATTGTTCTTGAAGGCTTTTATTTTTGCTTAAGGCAGATCATTCTTTGACTAAACATTGTGTTTAACGTGTAATTCTAGTAGGCAATAACGAGTCTTCCGTTTACATGGTCTACTATTCCATGTTTTACCTTTTTTCAATTTTTCTGTGAATTTTAGGTCTGCAGAACAGTTCGAACATCTTCGGTGTCAGTATGAAATCCTTTGAGTGCTTCTTCCAAGCTCTTACAATTCGGAGACTTCTTCCACACACCGATAGGGCTTTATCGAGCTTGACACCAACGTCCGCAATGGTTTAGAATTTTAGCCTTTACAAACTTTGTAATCTAATGTTGCAGATTCATGATCGAAATAAGCCGATGTCGATTTCCACGCTGCGAACTCCACTGATTGAGGAAATCTCATCGATGTTAACTTGAAGCCTTCCATCAGATTTGATTTTCAGTAGCGATTCAGCAGCTTTTTTTTCCAGGATGTAAAAAGCGAGGATATCGTAACTGATTTCCAGGAAATACCATTCGAGAAACGAACTGGAAAAAAACCATCCCCCTGCTTTGCGCTTTCGTAACGATCGCTTGCTCTGCATCGATTTCGATTCGTGACGATAAGTTTACTTAATTGATTGCATATGAGCCAAATGAACCAGATAAAATGATGTTTAAAGTTCAACGGGAAGCAAGATTTTCCGTCCTACACATAATCAGGTGAAAAAGAATAAACAGTTGCCAACCCAAAATATTGTCCAAAAGAACAAAGTCTTTTGGTTGCATTGTTTAAAAAGCCGGTGATTATGCGGTACTTCCGTGTTTTTTCATTGCTTATAAGGCCATTAGTTCAACCAGACAGCAGCCTTATCGGTTTTCCTTTTCATTCGTCCTGAAAAGATTAATGTTGTATTTTGGAAGATGTCGTTCTCGTCATCTACACTTTCCAGTCGGTCTCGCGAGTTGCATAAGACCCTCTTTGGGGTGAAAAAAGAGAGAACGGGATGAGAAGGAGAAAAGAGCTGAAATCCACTCTGTTTTGTTGCCTGTTTGTCATAGCGCTCTCTGCAGAAGAGGAGAGCAGCCAGATTGGAGTGACAAGCGCTTTTGATGCTCGTCACTCTTCTAAGAAGCTTGTTCTCAGTAGTTCTATTATCTCCGACTGACTTAGCTGAGGTGCACGACTAAGCGTCCAGACTATTCGGATCTCTGGCGAATTAAGAACTTTTTGCTACAACGGTGGATAGAAATGAAAAAAAATACGAAAAATGAAAGATGAGTGAGATAAACCGGTAAGCGAAAATCTTTCACATTAAAGGTGATGGCAAGAATACACTTATTTACCAAACCAAAGAAGCAGAAAAGGTCAAAGTTACCATCTTTCGGTTTAAATAAACAGGAATATAATAGTTTCAGAGAACAGTTAGATGTGTAAAATACAACATAAAGGATATAAACGAACTTCCTGGTAAGAGAAAAAAAGGCCAGTGCGGCAAAAGGCTGAAAAAGGAACATTATACGGAAAATTAGGAATGTCATTACTTACTAAAGCACTTTTAAGAAAGGGCCTCCACAGCGCAGAGTATAATGCGTGAGCCCCGGAAAGGGAAATCGTGTTTTATCTGGCCGGTGGTCCAAGTTTTGCGAATATCTCAGTATCATTGTAGTCTCAATTTTTCCAAAAATTAGAATGTTGTTGAAACGTCCATTTTCGACGATAGTAATACGAAACCTTGTAAAAATTGCACTCAAAGCCATACTACTTATGCTTCACATGTTTTTATATTTCGACAAAGATTCTCCACATCATGGAAATTGAAATCTGGCCTTTCTCCACGAACGTTTCACTGATCGACCAACCGTTCCTTTAATTCCACTGTTACACACTGGACCTCACTTTTATTCATTTAGACAACGATGAGTTATTTCGCTACGACACGCCAGTTAACAGAAGAATTTGAGGCGAGGGAACAACAAAGCGATAATCGGAAAACCCGAAGCTCCGCTACCCCAGAGATTTTTACTCAGTTTCTTAAAATATGTCCTCAGAATAGTCTTAACATATATATATATATATATATATATATATATATATATATATGACGTGGGTTAACATGCATATGAATGCAATCCATACCTAACATAAACAGAAGAAATCATTAGTAATGATTCAGTGCCAACAAAAAGCCTATAAAAGAAGGTTACTATTTTTAGAAACTACAAACTTTCTTGTGGGTACTACGTTAAACTTCAGTCAGCCGCGTTCTTTTCCTTGGTAGATTAACCTGTTTTCTTTTCTGTAAGACATAAAAACTGACCAGATCGATACGGCCGATGTCCAGTTAGCGAACGCAACAAGATGAATTTTTAAACGGAGATAGGGATAACGAAAGATCAGATTGAAGGCGAAATAGTCGAAATGTGCCATCGAATGTGGAATCATCAGAATCAAAAGACAAACGTCGAACACCGCCAGACACGTGAGGAAGATGTTCGCTCTGAAAGGAATGCGAATGAAGAAGATAAAGGGAAAACGCAGAACTGACAGTGATCATTAAAAAAAGATGAAGCATGAAAGGCACTGAATCAAGGTCTTTGAAAGAGGGTTCGGTTGAATGTATTTATAATAGGTGAGTCACCGCTTCGTAATGGATGGCTGAGGAAATAAATTAATGATTAATTATCCAATTAATTCATAAGAAATTACAAGGATAACAATGGGTTCAGTTACTGACAGTAAACGTTCTACATGCAGTAACAATAATAATAAAAGCTAAAATAAAAAATAAAGCTCTTGGGTTTGACCAATCCATGAGGGATGCGCTATGCATTCGATTTCATAAAGCCACTGTTGGAGGTGACTGAATGGATATCAAGCCTTTGCAATGACTCGCGGTTGCCGACCGATATGCCGAGCCAGTGCTGCTATCCTCCCAGACAAGTCTTGTACCAATTTCACGCCCTCGAAGGGATAGAAAGCTTGGTGAGCTAGTGGTGCAAAAATCGATCCCATGTATATTGCAGGGCGCCTCCGACCACTGCGCCACCCGCGCCACAACAGTAATAATGGCAACTAAAACCATAATAATAATGGTAATGACAATAACAATAATAATAATATCAATGATAACAATAACGAGAAGGAAAAGAACAAGCAGAAACGTAATCACGATGCTGATCATCACAGCAGTGTAATATAATCTATAGCAGCAATAATGACGAAAATAACAACGGAGAAATGAAGCACAAAATCGCGTTTCAAAATTTTCCACTTCTTTTTAACCCCTTTTTTAATCCCTGAAATCCCTAGTTAGCGCTTTTCTTCCACATTGATGAAACATATAATTTAAATTCTTCAGTAGGAAATCTTGTCGCCACACCACTCGAAATCCGATGTTTCACATTGTGTTAAACGCGTGATTTTAAATGTAATTCGAGTTCTACCAATTATCGTTCGTCATTCGACTTTTTTCGATCAGCCTCTGGAAAATCTTTTCGATTCGTAGGAATTTTAGTGCCGCTGGAGCTAACTTTATACATTCTCAAATAAGCATCACGTCTTCGGTAAGAATCTTTTCCAAAGAATAGCATTTCTGGAGGATCGTCGGGCTCTCAATCTTCCCGCTCCCAGCGGTCTGGAGGAAGTAGGTGGAATGGAATTTTACCTGTGCTTACCAGCAAATCCCAGTTGTTTTTTAGCTGTGAAACTATATGAAAGGCTTATTGAGGTGTAGCGAAACGAAAAACAGAGCTGATGATGAATTGCTGCTCACCTCGACATGAGATCGTTGCTGATCAGTACGGTAATCGTCAACACGTTGCCGACGATTCCGAAGGCGCACAAGGGTGGGAAGACGATCGTGTACAGGAAATACTCGAGCTGTGAGCCCGACAGCCGCAGCTGGTCCTCGGAGAAGCACTTGGACGACGCTGTATCCATCGCTGACGTCGTCGAGCACTGAAAGAATATATGAGAGATGTGCTCTCAGTGAACATCGACATGAACGCGAACCGCCCGAGCTATACGGGCACCAACGAAGTACGGAACAACGTGGCTTCCGGGAAAAATCCATTTAAGGGCACTCTGTTAGGCAACCGTAAAGACTTTCCCTATTCATTTTTTTTTCGAAAACATCTTTCACAAATGTTTTTCACAAGGGAATTCAAAACCAATGCGACCAGTATCTGAAATGCTATAAATGAAGGGTGAAGATATATAACCATAACGATGTTGAGATTTTTGCAAAACTCCGGACGGCTGGTTTCTGCGGTGGGGAACGAACACGCTATTACCCACTACTATAGGTCCATAACACGGCTGAGAGATGAAGACGTTAGGTCCAGGAAAGGGTAATACCGGGTTCGATCCCCACCGCAGACACAAGAGGTTCGGAATTCTGCAAATATCTCATCATCATTACAGTTATATTTCACATAGCACCTTGCCACTGAAAAAGAATAGGCAGAAAATAAAAAGTGACCACTAAAGGAATAATTTGTGGAAGTCCAACTTTTTTCGCCATTGCTTTAAGAACTGTAATCATAGTTTATAATTTTACACCACGTGGCAGGCCTTCCAGAAATCGAATGTCAACATTTAGATTTCATTCGCTTGAATCTGTTCAAAAAACATTTGAAAACTAAAGGAATTAACACAGTTCTGATCTCAGATTATAAATTATTGATTGATTTTTTAATCTCAAACCAGGTAAGTCCAGAGCTTCTTTAGACATTGTTATTTTTCTTTTCAGCTTCTCATTCAGTGAGAGAATACCAGCGAAATGTCATCATCAAGAAATGCATTACGAAAGGTACGAAAAGATGTAATGATAAATGAGTCAGTAATATCTTCTGATGATCATAAAACAAATAAAATCAAGAAGTAAGCCAAAAAAGTGTTTTTGGAAAGTTGTTTTTTCCTATGAGCACTGAACTGAACATAAATGAGTATTCACTACTTGTCATTTGAGCTGAGTGAAGGCCAGACAATAGAGTTTAAAAACGACGCTATCGAGAAAAATTGGATAATTTAGAAATCCTTCTGTGGCCCGATTGAAAATCCTTGAGAAAAACAATAAGCTGGGTGAGGGCAGAAATGATGGGGAACGTTGGTGATGATGACAAAGGAGGACAAGGCGGCCATTGTCCGAAACGACGGATGTTCGTCTTCGTCCGAGCCACAACAATCCTCTAAAGAGTCTTTCGCCAGTCTGGAACGACTACGGGAGCAATACGACATCAATCAGACGTGCCTCCACACAGTCGTCTAACGCTTGCAGATTCATGCAGAGTTTTCTGACAATCAATGGCGATCGCTTGGAAGCTTGAACTGAACAATAGTGATTGAACTAATCTGCTTCGATCTATAAGTCAACTGAATATGCTTGTAGAAAATCACATACTGGAATGTTGATGATCCTTTGCAAAAACCGAAATCTCCTCCGATGGCTTACGATGGAAAACAACCATGTTTATATCGGACTAGTGGTAATTTTATGACTTCAACAATGGCCTCATAACACTAAGGTTACAAGCCTATGTTTTTGTTTACACTGGCGCAGAATGGAGCTATGAGCCATAAATGAAGAATTGCAGATATATTCTGCTCGGGCTGAAGCTCCACCCACGGACGAGTTGTTGTTTGTCATCTACGAAATAGTTTTTGTAAATAACCTCCATATAAAATTAAAGTAAATATATACACTGAAAGGTGACCTAGATAGTTTTTGGGACAATTTTTATAAATTTACAAAATTTCCTTTCTTTTTTGACACTGTCTTAAAGGCAGTAAATTCTAACTTATTAGTGGTGAACAGAGCGCAGGGAAATTTGAACTGCATTTAAACTCCAGAACAATTGTTAAAAAGAAAAAAAATAGGAAGAGTCAAAACATGAAAAAGGTTGACTAACATTATCAAAAGGAAAAGGAAAGGAGAGCACGAAGAATAAATTCACGACAACTCGTCCATCCGATGACGTTAAGAACTCGGACGTGTTGTCATGTACATATGCACGCTACTCTTTCTGTCATGTTTATTGTTGCTCTTGTGTCAACACAACTGCAGTCAGTTGATGCTCGAGCACTTTTGGAAGGATTGTGAACTTCTTAAAATTGATTTGAAATGAAACCCTGAAATGTAGTGCTGTTCTACAATGCGGTTAAAATCGTCCCTTTCCCATTTTTTCAAACGCAGTTTTCGTTCAAAGACGTGAGAGTCGTCTCACAAATTCATAGAATATTCTTGATCCGAGCATGAGTCGAGTCGTAACTTTAATGAGCAAACACCTACATAAAAACATACGTAGATACATGCATACATGCACAAGTATATATACACGCACACACAAACACGTATATATATATATATATATATATATATATATGCATATATGCATACTTACACCTACATGTTCCATGCCTTGAGATGTTTGCCTTAGAGTCGATAAAAAAGGAAAGCCGTAAACAAGTTGTAGATCCATCGTGTTATTGTCGCTACCCACTGGCGTTTGCTCGTCGAAAAGATGTCGTATCGCTGCTGTTCTTCTACTAAAGGTTGCATCAAACGTGATGAGTGAAAAATAGGCTAATTCATCTACGACATCATCCATTGCCTTCTCATCAGCCATGTGAAAACGCATTGCTATTTGTCGGAACGGTTTAAGACGTGCTGACCTTATGTTTCGATAGCATAAACTTGGATCCTGAAGGATTAGACTTCAACCTGAATGAGTCATGTACCGACAAAATAGCGAACTGCTTCCTATTACAGAAGAGGAATTTATTGATCGATGCGGATAAAGTCAATGTAAAGGCAGTGACAGCAATGACAATGATGATACCAGTAATGGTAATAATAGTGGCCATAGTAGTAATAATAAATTTTAGCTGTAGTGTCTTCAGTGTTACGAAAGGAGCACAAACTCAGTGCTATCTAAAATTAAGTCAGATGGATCCTCGGAAGCTACGAGAGAATAAAACATCTTGCTTAATATTCGAATGGAAGAAGAAGATAACAAGGGAACCCTGGTAATAAGAGTACTTTAAACTAACCACGAAAGCAGTGACGATACTAATAATAACATGAAAGGTGACACTATAAATTCAGATAACACACTCAGTTGGAATTTTGCTATAGTTCCCTTTGTTGATGCAGGAATGTCTGCTATCCTGTATCGGATTTCTAGCTAGCTTTATTATTGAGATTGCTCATGGCAAATGAACGTAGAAAATATGAGGAAAGAAAATCCAAGACGAAATAGAGGTCAGAATCTGGTCGGTTACACAAGTAGAATTTTCAGACGTTCGACTGGAAACTAGTGGACACTGCAGAAAACCATCCATTGATGTGAACAGGCACCATCTTCACACTATGAATGGATCGCCAGAGTTCATAAAATAGTATAATGCTCTTTATAATGGCGATGTAGCAGCGTCGATAACAAACAGACTTACTTCCTTGGATATTTGGATGGTCCGCCCTCACTGGCTGTGCTAGGGTCAGCATAACCTCCATTTTTTCCGGAGATTTGCTGCTTTAGCCACTGTGGTTCCTTGAAATCCCAAGGTCAGCCTGGCCAAAGTCTTCCCTAGGTCGTCACCACCACAGGCTGTCGCAACCCTTCTGGATCAAAGGGAAATTCGTCACCGTGCGACTAGTTTGGTACCAAGACGGTGATGGACCTTGGTATTGGTTTACCCTTAGCTGGGTTTGTTGAAGGTAACGCTGGACCTCTTCTCAGCTTGGAAGACTCTGCCAGGAGGATGAATCCTCCTACTGTACATCTCAGCACGACACCGAAGAACACCTCCTAGCTACAATGAGGCGGTGAACCGTTGGGAAGAATATACTACGCTTAAATTGTCAATATCGCCACTGCTACTAACACCTTCACCCCGACTTGGATCTCTTAATCACCCTTCTTCAGTGTTTTTACAGGTCTGGTCACATTTTCATCCTTATCGTTTTCTATGATGGTGGTACGACGGCGTCTTCGATGTTGCTTCTTGGTTCCTTCACTTCTTCATTGTTCTCCTGCGATCGAACTGATCCTACGACCGGGTCGTATATGCCTTCTACAGGACAATGAAGGTGGATTATTCGCGAGTAGGAAATCTGACTTAGTGTCATGTATATTAAGTCTACTCCAAAGGAGATCGATATGGCTTCTATGGGCGGTACGCGAGACTCCAAGATGATTTATCAGCACAAGTTTAACAACGTTAAAAGTGCTGTTGAATCGAAGAGGCGAGTGTTGAAGTTCTCTGCTGGTCATGAGAAGAAGACCTCTTTGAGGAGAAGTTGTAGTGCACCTAAGCCCTTCTAGAACCATCCCAATCTCATTATCGTTTGTGAACCGTTTTCCGTCCAGCGTTTCTTAATTTCAAGACATCCCCTTCGGTTCAATGGATTTTTTACGAGAGATCATGTCATTCATAGGAACAAATAGTGTTTGAATCACCAATGCCAATGTTAATCCTCCTTTCGTTTGGATTGGACGAAGTTCGAAGCACTTTAATAAGCAATTTAAGCGATTTCACCAGGTCGCACAAAATTCTCGATTGAGGTAGCAGAATGGCTACTAGTCTTCTTGTCATAGGACAGTTGCGATGACGGTTGGCTATGGTGGATATGCCGATTCTGTAGAGCTCGTCGTTAAAGCCGACACTATTCTGTCAAAGGTTTTTAAACTACCACAACAAACTCTTACGACGGACTTTCTATCAACCTTGTCATTGATCAATAATCCACTGCTTTCTTAGATAAGCAAACATTAGGTTAGTATTATAGCATTTATTAGCACACGACAGCTGATGTTTCGGCGGATTCGCCTTCTTCAGAGCTCATTATTCTCCTCCAAAGGTGATCCTCCGAATAGTGAACACAACAGAATTCCTTTGACTCGCTGTTCTTCACTTGAGCGTACATGTTTCCTTAGTTT